GCTGGTGACCCTGGGCGAGTTCGGTTGGGGTGAGCCTTAGTGCGGCTGATGCTGCTGATGCTCGGTGACCTTGGGTGCAGCTGATGCTCGTGACATTCGGCACGGTAGTCAGGGCACAGGGTCAGAGAGGGCAAAAAGCAGCCTGATTCTACCGTCGGTCTCAACAGCTATGCTTCTCAAGACAAAGAGCTGAGGCGAGGGAAGCCTAGTGAAGCTTTCTGCCGAGAAGGAGGCCTTGGGCGCAGCTTGAAGCTTCTCGCAAGTGTTATTCGTCGTATTCATATTAGTGCTGTCTTGTTGCAACCACGATTCGTGTTGTTATTATGGATACTACTTCTACGACTACCATTAGCGCAGGTCCTGTGTCCAAAGAATCGTCAGGCAGCTTTGATCGCAGAAGCCCTTGCAGAGAGCTTCGAGGCAGTTCCGGCGAAAGTGCAGGTGTGTCTCCCAATCCCCGGTCGCTTTTCTGGGACAGGTCACTGACAAGGCCACGGCGATGAGTGGAAAGGAGAGAAGCAGAAGGGTGGAATTCTCGCAACTCTGCCGCTTCCAAGGCCTGGCTCGTGGCTGCACGCAAGAAGGACCTCCAGGAGGGCTCCACGGGCAGCGAGCTCAAAAGCCTGGCACGGCAGCGCGCCACAGTCGCCATTTTTGGTGTCTCACACTGTCTCACAACAAGTGTCACTTTTTTCCCTTCCAAAATCCTCCGAGGCATCGTGGCCTTGGTCTCTCATGGATTTGCGGCTCCAGTGGAGGTGCTCCCGCTTTGGCTCACATCCTTGCCTCTCTTTGCCCGCGCTTTGCTGAGAGGCCAAGCTGGCTGAAGGCTGTGCTGCGCTATGGCCCAAACCGAAGGAGTGCTCCGGCACGAAGCTCTGTTAGGCTGCCTCTGAAGACAGAACTTTACAGTGCCTTGGTTTGCAGGAGGCCCCGGAGAAAGAAAAGCGCCCAGGCACCGTCGCCTCAGCCCCAGTGACCACGCCGAGTCATCAGCTGATTCAGACCGGGTTACATTACATCCGTTCCGAGGCTCGTGCTCCGGGTGGCGTCCAGCACTCAGCATTCAGCATAAAGGCATGTAAAAGCTGCGTTGCAAGCTGCGAGATTGCACCACACAGTCTTTCTCGCGATTCTGAGATTGCCAAACTCTTCGTCGCCTGGGCTGGAGACTGCCGGTGTGTCCTTCTTCGTGGGCGCAGAGGGCTGAGATTGCGCAGCTGCGACAAGATGCTACAGTCGAGATTATAGAAACGAGCGGTACTGCCATTCAAGGTCAAGGACTCCGGATATCGGAGGATCACAGACCCCAACGTGCCTTGGTAAGTCAGGCTCCACATGTGGAGAGGTCATAACAAGGAAGGTACCTGATTCGCAGGGCTGTCGATCCTTGGTATCTGAGAGTCGAGACCAATCTTGGAAAGTCGAGGTGCTGATGAGAAGCGGCGGGTATCACTCCTGAAGGGTCATAGATGTCTTTCCTTGCCCTGTCAGCCTCCAGACGGTTCGGAGCGTCACTTGGGCACGTCTCGCTCAGGTTGAAAAAGCCGGTGGACTCGTCGTTCGAGATGCGCACAAAGTGTGGCGCGTCGGGTGGCGGCCTCAAGCGTTGCCAGGGCATCTAGACAATCGGGCAAAAATAGGTTAGTAATACAGAGTAATTCAATAACATATTACATGTCTTCGATGCGAGTCGTTGTTGCGGCATGTGCGTCCGCTCCGCCTCTCCCAGACCGCGGCCGGACAACAAGTTCGCCAAGGAATTGCAAAAGGTGCCAAAGAACGTAGGACAAAGCTTCGACTGGAAGAGATCGTTGCTCACCGGCAGGGCAAGAAGGACGGTCAACAGATGAGTGTGTTCCGGAGCTCAGCTGTTCACCGGAGAACAACTACTTTCGCAAGACCCAGCTTGCTGCTGCTTGGGCACAGGTTTCTCTCGACCTGCAGAGGGTTTGGAGATCCGACTTTCAAGAGTCCGGATCCGATAGCCGACGACTTACGCAGTGCTTGCACTGCTCTGTGTAAGGGAATGATGGACGACGCGGCAAATTGCAAAAAGGTGATCGTCACCCCCGACGTGAAAACCGTGGACCTGGTGCGACGAGTGCAGAAATCGCGTGCTGGGAAGCCTTTGCTTCGCTCACCGAGGTTCCCGAAGACTGGGCCTGTGTCCTGGGAAGCGATGGCATCTTTGATGCTCTCAGCGACCAGGCAAAGTCTGCAAAAGGGAGGGCGCGGGACATTTCGTCGGATGCCGTCCGCTTTGAAAGGAGGTTGCAGACGTTGTTTGGCGTGCCATGGCCGGTCACGGCAAGGATGCCGTGAGGCGCACGAACGAGAGCGAGTCAGCCTCGCGACTCTCCGAAGCCGTAGCCGCTGCCCAGGGCTGCCAGGGAAGTGGTGCAGACGGCCCTGCGCAAGGGAAGCCGTGCGCAGCCCGAAAGTACGACCCGACCGACGAGAGCTTGTTACTCTCGCTGCACATCAGACATGATGAGGCGACAATGTGACTGCTGTCATTAGCCGATTTGGCTGGGTGTGGGCCTTGATCGTCCCGGGTTATCTTGCTTCTAAACCTGTCAGTCATTGTCTTGATACAAATAGTAAACTATGAGAAACTACCATGAAGGGCGTTGTACAATTGCATGAAGTATCATGAAGTAGGACTAGGGCTGCCGTCCCGACGACTCCGGCCACTGATCGCAACCACCAGGAGCGGCGTGGACTTGGTGCAGGAACCACTCACTGAACCAACGAATCCTACATACACAAGTCGCGATCCTTGACATGTGTTCCTGGGTGTTCCTCCGATGAAGCTTTTCCAGCACATCTATCCATCCAAATCGATCTACTTGTTTATTGCACTCCATGCTTTTGGTCGGTTCGTCGGTCGCCTTGATCGTAGAATGAACGAGGCCAGCCCCCCGGAAATGGACTCGACGGTGGCTGCAGTGATATCTTCCTCAGGCAGCTCGACCATAGCAGGAAGCAGAAGGGGTCACACCTCGTCATTCCTGCCAGGGCTGGAGAACACTGCCTTCACTGCCCCCGTGGAGTGCTGGACTTGGATACAGAAAAGGCAGCGTGCAGAGGCAATTGGAGGCATGTTGCCCTCTCAATCCTCCGGTTAAGTCTTGGACTGAGTACCAATGGTTCGCAGACTCGACTCAGGCCATCTGATGATGTCAACATGTTCGGGCTGGGATCTTATCAATTTGCACATGTCGCAATTCACAAGATTGAAATGACATGAATCATTGGTTGGGAGCGTAGCAGAGTTGCAGGTGATGTGGTTTCTGCGACGCACCGCATGCCAGCGCGCGATGTGCCCCAACAGGGGGCTCCTTTGCTTGACTGCCCGCTTGGGGCTGCCCGGCGGCTTGAAGCTGCAGTCAGCTGCGCGCCAACGGAAGCTGAAGGCAGCCAAGAGTCGCAGTGAGCGCTCGAAAAGTCCAGCTCGAGCAGGGCCAGGGCGAGCAAGCATCTCAGGTCCAACCAAGCTGACCTGCTGCAAGTTTCGGCAATCGCTGCAGCCACGTATGTGCACAACTTCACGCAAGTGAGGAAAAGGGGGGGGGGGGCCGAAGGCGGTGACTAGTGACTAGCTAGCAGAATTGAACCACTCCAGGCTGAAACAGCTTGAAACGACTTTTTCAAGTTGATATCCTTTTGCAGCCATGCGCTGTGCATCACGCCTCGTAGCCCTCACCGATAGGGCGGTACTGCGAGTGTCAGGCGCCGCGGTACTGCACACAGGGGTCATTACGAGACCATATGCGCAGGATCCGAGCATTCCCATTCTAAGGGCTCCAGGGCTCCTTGTTTTTTGAAGTTTCAGATCATAGAGCCCTGGTTTGGCCAGGCGAGAACAGCGGACAGTTCCTTCAAGGCTTATGCACACAGGACATGCAGAGTCTGCAGATCATGCGGTCTGCGGGTCATGCTGCAGCTTGGATTGGCTGGTGAAGCTGCAAAGCTCGACACACCTCCGGTGCATGTTTTACGGCCCTACGCGCTGCTGGGGCGCAGCATGAATCTGCTAAGGTTTTGCCCGCAGCTTTCCTATCTCCCAAAGGCAAAGTACTTTGTGACACCTTGGTCCAGCAGGTGGACAAGCACGAATTCCTGGATCTTCAGCTGCACCATACTGGTTCATTTCCTGGTAGGGTCATGCTTGGTGTCGCGGCCTTGCAAAGTGGATGGAGATGTGGCTTGAACCCGACACATGAGCAGAGGTCGACTGCCATGCAGATTCGGCGACACCACTTCTTCGGCTGCTGCAACGTCATCGCTTGCGACAACCACTGACTATTGAGAATGTCTCGAAAAGAAGCTCGCCAGCAGAGAGTCGATGGTGCCCATGGTGCAATGTCAAAAGAAAGGAGTGAATGTCCTGAAGCGGCGAGGTTACGCGCCTTTTGCACTCCTGCCACCAGAAGCCGCATCCGAATCGTCGAGTGTCAGCACAGGCCAGAGATACGTAGGTTGTTTCGTTTGTTTCGTTCAGGTCACAGCACTTGGCCAGTCTTGCTATGGACAGGCGACGAGCCAGAGCCAGATCTCGCAAGTTTTTTCCCAGATCCTCGTTTTGCGGGAATGGGTCAGCGTGCAGTCCTTTCAAAAGAGGCGACCACGGTCACGCAGATGACGCTAGCTGATTACCATCGTTGGCGTGTGTGCTGTGGAGTTCCGGAGGGTCCTCGTGACATGAAAGTCGACGAGATGATGCCACTGCATGTGAACATGGAGCTGCTGAACTTTGTGTCCTTTTCCAAGGGCTGCTATGTGGGCCAAGAGCTGCTGACACGGACCAAGCACAGGGGTGCTGTGCGGAGGCGCTTCTTCATTGCTGTGGCTGCGGACTACGGGTCCAGCGAGGTGTCGAGCCTTCAAGATGCTTTGGGGCAGCTCGAGCCCAGTCGTCCGTTGACAGCCCGCTGCATCACATCCACCGCAGAGTCTTTGCAGCCCGAAGCCTCTGATGCCCTTGCCGTCTTCGCTAGGTCAAGACAAGATCAGTCGGACCTGAAGCAAGTGGGAACTCTGCAGTCAAGCTTCCAGAACGTGGCCCTTTGCCTACTGCGGTGCGATGGCGACTTCAATGACCCTCGGAGCTTCGCGACCACAGCGCCCCTACAAGAAGGCATGGAGGTCGTCACGGCTTCTGGCCGATCACAGATCTTGCTGCGGGCTCCGCCTTATGCATTTGTCGAACCCGTGTCGCCAAAGTGAGGCGGCGATACCCGCCATTCCGGCAAGAGCGGTCACAAAAAACCGATGAGTCTGGACTCTGCAAGTCATGCAAAGCTTGTGTAGATATTGCGGGGTGCGGATCTCGGGGTGCAAATGAACATCGAACAGCAGCGCAAGTCATGGCTCAAGTCCGTTAGGGGGGCGGGATGGAGAATCCCGACATTTGCCTGAACGACCCCTACCAGGATATTTCGGATGAGTTCGGCTGGACACAGAGCCCGAGTTCTGGAGGCCAGGAGCCGCAGGACACCCAGAGCCATGACGTGGAAGAGCAGGAAGGAACAGGCATCGAAGAGGAGGTAGACTGGGGCGGCGACGAGGAGCACCAGGAGGCGAATGATGGGGATGTAACGGATGAGGAGGAGGACGAGCAGGGAGAACAAGAGCCGCATGCCGAGACCAAGCTTGAAGCAGCTCCAGACGTCCCTCAAGAACCTCAAGCCACGAACCCGATCGCCTTAGAAGAGGACGATGATGATTGTCAAATCGTCAGTGTGGACATGGGTTCTTCTCAGCCGAAGAGTCCCCCCAAGGGCAAGGGCAAAGCCAAAGGCAAAGATGGTAAAGATGGTAAAGCTGGCAAGGCCTCCTCTACCGTTCTGAAGGGCAAGGGCATCAAAGGCAAAGACGGGAAAGGTGGCAAGGGCCCCATTGCCAAGCAGTACCCGGCTTCAGCACCACAGATTGCAAAGGCGACAGTGCCGAAGTCCAAGCCGAAGCCGCAACCTCCGCGACTGCAGCCACAGCCCGCGCCGAAGGTCGGCCCGGCGAAGCCCCCACAGCCAGGAGCGTCGCAGGCTTCCACCACGGCGACTCCTGCGAGCCCACCGGTAAAGGCGGCTCCAATGCCTCCGCAAAGCTTTGTTTCAGTGGACTCCTTGCTCACAGAGCAGGTTCGGCTGCAGCTTCTCACGGAGCCTGGCAAGCGCGCCTCCATGCGAAGGCTTCTCACACAGCCCAAGGTGTCACAGCTCCTGCGCCACCTCAGCAGTAGCCGGCGCTTGGCTTTCGGTAGTATGCCTGGGGTCCTTTGCAAGCTGCTCCGGGAGTCTCAGGCCTTCCAATTGTCGGAATCAGCAAAGGAGGATGCTCCGGCTGCCATACAGGATGTTCGAGTCAGTCTAACAGAGCAAGGTGAGGGAAATCCGCTGGTTGACAAAAAAAGCTTTGATAGACTTTGGTCCTCTCTGTTCCCGAATCGCTCGGCCTCGGCGACCAACCAACCGACCACACAAGCTGAGTCGGCACCCGCGGCTCCAAATGGCGCCTCGACTCCACAGAGCAGCGATGTGGCGGCCCGGAATCAGAGTAAGCAGAGGGCATTGCAACAGATCCGGGATCTTGATGACAAAGGCGTGCCGGATGGTCCACGTCCACCGAGCATGCCTCCCCCAAACTACAAAGCAGATTGGAGGCGTTTCCAACCTACGGCCAAAAGGGTCCTCGCTCCACGCAGGGCAGGCTCGGCGAGCAGCCTCGAAGACGGGACAGCCCAGCCCTCACAGAACGAGCTTCACCCTCCAGTTACCCAAGTGGTCGCAGGCCCCTGCAGAAGCCCGCAGGGCCCACGGCCACCTGGGGTCCCACATGCCTTTCATGCCCACAGCCAGCCTTCCGGACCCACCCCGCCTGCGGGACCCCCACCCGGTCAAGGCGTGGGCCCAAGGCCCCATTTCCACATGGCTTCCCCTGGCCCAAGAAGCCCTGCACCAGAACCTGTGGACAACGAGGGCCGCCCCTTTGATTTGGAGCACGTAGTAGTGAATTTTGCCAATGTGGGAGCAACATATGGAAGTCGAGTGCTTAAGAAGGACAAACAGAACTCATATTTGTTCGACTACGAGGGCGTCAGACGGTGCGTAAGGCACCTGACGCAGAAGCGAAAGCTCCGGGTCATCGGTGTGATCTTCGAAAACTTTCATGGTGATGAAAACGGCCGCGAGGTTCACCAAGTGCCACCCGACATTTCTGCCATGTGCGAGAGCATCGAGCTCACACCCCGATTATTGGGCCAGAGGCACAAGAGCGCCGATGATGAAATGACCATCAAGTGCGCTTACCGAAGGAACTGCAGATTCTTGGACAATGACAATTACCAGGACTGGCGCAACTATCTCGCGGACGAGGCAGTGCGGACTTGGCTGCTGCACTGTCAAGAATTCCTGCAGATGAAGTTTTACTTTGACTCTGGACTCGGAGACTTTGACATACTCGAAGGCAACATACCAGCTGCCTGGTTAGCGCAGGGGGCCGCGCAGGGCCCATCGAAACGCCATTGCACGAGACCGTGGAAATGAAACCTAGAAAAGGGGTTCTAGGAGCTTGCATTTTTGCTGCAGTGTCGCTGCAGCTTGGTGACTGGCTTCTGATGTTGCGACGCTGCTTACGAGAGAGAGAGAGAGAGAGAGACATGCCGTGCCGGCATGACGGCTCTAAGTTCCAAGGAGCTGACCAAAACAGAGCTGTTTAGCGACTCCGCGCGACGACCACTAGAGTCACTAGAGTATTGTGTCATGTCACCACAGCTAACACGCTAGAGCCGGAGTGAGTACAGGAAGCAAGATAGCCTGCAGCGCTGTTCTCGACATTCAGCCAATGGCTCGGCCTGTGCCGACCAATGAACTCCGACTGGCAGAAGCCGCTGAGTCTACAAAGCTTGTGCCGTTTGTTCGTGACGGGGTGCATGTGCACGTCTGGTGTTCTTTTAAAGCTGAAAGCTCTTTGAGTGTTCAACTCAGGCTTGCGGACCTTTGGTATCGCAAGCGCGAGGCAGACTTTGGATTTTTGATGCGAAGGTGAAAGCAGAGGTCAGAGGTGTGTACCTGGCATATGTCGGCATTGCCTGCTGCTTGAGGGGCAGCTTGCTGTTTCGTTTTCGTGAGGGGCTGTAGGGCAGAGCCTCACCTGTTGCCTGGTGCTGCTCGACTCTCTGGATGCAACCGCAGAGGGAAAGGGAGAGAGAGAGAGAGATTTAGAGCGCGAAGTGGAAGGTGTATCCTGCACAATGGGCCGATGACCCTGATCGGCTTCACTTGTGCGTGGTGGCTGGTGCGCCGTATGGAGGGCCTCCTGGCCGCAGTGGCTTCGAGTGTGGGCTTTTGAGCTGCATCAGATCCTTAGGCCAGTGGCAACAGTGCGGGATGAGCAACGGGGCTTCCATAGCGTGTGCACGCTCGCAGAGCTCCTGCGTGGTCGTGTTGCCCTTCGTGCTATGCTTTAAGGGGGGCTTCAGAAGCGAGCTTCAGGCATGTCTTCCAACCCGTGAAGGGTAGTCTTCGAACGGAGCTACAAATCTGGACATCTGCCGGCCGGCTCATTCAGTCAGCACCATGGGCACACACCGGTCGCTCGGCATCAAACCCGTCTGGCTGCATTGAGTGAGTGGACAGCCGTTCAAGTGCGAGGTCTGCTTGCCATGGGCTGGAGTGCACAAGAAACCTTGGATCCATGTCAGAACTTGAGTCCAGAACATGCATCTTCATTCGCTTTCATCCCGAAGCCTGCCGAGAGTTTGTCAGGTGTGCGTCTTCGAGTCTGGGTTGGTTCGAACGTGGCCCTGCTGAGTTCAGCCATGCAGTTTAGGATTGCTGGGGTGCGGCTTTGCTTGAGGTTCACAGTGATGTGCGAACCTTTGCACGTCTTCACCGTGGACGAGCGGATCATGTCAGAGGGCGGTGCGGTTGCGGCAGCACTGTGGCCCAACGGAATTGCGCCTTGGTGACAGTGTGAGTTAACACGGTCAGCAGTCAGTCGTTGCACGCAACCCTAGTGACCTAGTGCTTGTCCTGGGGCAGGCATTGCTGACGCGGAAGTTCAACATATTTGTGAACACTTCTCTAACTCGATCAGAGGATGCTCCTGGGGTTGGCATTGGCAGCCGCACGCCGGAGCATGAGCGCATTTTGGGCCAGGCTACTGTAGGCAGACCTGCGCTGAACAGCAGAAGCCAAGGCTTGCCAGCGCTTCGCCGATTTCAAGGTTCCCAGCGTCACGTGGCAGAGCACCAACATCTATCACCATCTCATGAAGGTTTTTGAGTGAAGATGCAGGGTGTTTGAAAGGAGGTGCTCACAGCGGCGCAATTCCGAGGCACCTCTGAGTCTCTGCGTGCTCCCACCGCCTTCGGAAGAGTCAGCGGCAGCTAAAGCCTGCAATTGGAGGTTGATTACAAAAGGGCTGGCATGAAAGTGCCATCACGCAGCTGAGGACGTGCAAGTCATTGTGGGTACTTCTGAGGGGCCCGTCTTGATGGTCGACAGGCTGTGGATGCTGTTCTCGTGCAAGCGCCATGCAGCATGACGTGTCGCTTGGCGCCCTGAAGGCACAGCTGCAGCCGCTCGGTTGGTTTCTGATCTCCGCCTCGCGGCGCCTGGTGTCCTTTGCGGCTCTTTGTCTAAGGAGACATCGGCCTCACGGATGGTCCCTTCATGGCTTTCGCATTATCCAGCAGCGGCCGACTCCTTGCCTGTCTCAGCACCAAGGGCGTCTTCAAGGCACCGCGGATCCGCAGATCAGGATTCGATACTACTACTACTACTACTACTACTACTACTACTGCTACTACTACTACTACTACTGCCGTTGCTTAAGTGCGCTTTGGCTCTTAAGCGTCGCCGCGAGAGGTCCTCGCTGTCAGCGACAACTTGCAAGTCCTGGAGACCTGGGCAACTGGCTTTAACCAGTTGTAGGCACCGTCAGAGAACTTGCTTCCGGCAGGACGTGGCGAACATCGTCGACACGATCAAGAAGCCCAAACAGATGGTCTGGTGCACCTTTCTCAGTCCGAGTCAACGAGAGTGTGTAGGCCCGTGATCATGTCAGCAAAGCGCAGGCAGCCGCTTGTTGCACTGCTTCAGACAGACCCTGCCCTACTCGTGGCTTCCTATCACCAGAGGTGGGGACGACTGTATCGCTCTGTATTTGATTGCGCAGACTCCATCGAACAGCCGCAAGCTCGGATCAAATTGACTTTTCCCGTGCTTTTCTTGGCGCGAAGTATCATGGGTTAGCTCGTTTTGGCTGATAGAACACGCGGGAAACTATCTGCGGGAACCATCTCTCTGGCACAGCAGTTTGCAAGAGGATCGTGTCAGCTCAGTTTCTTAAGAGCAAGTGTATCCGACTATACAGGCATGGCAAGGACTACTGTACTACCGAAACGCCCCGCCAAGGCCTGCAGCACATCCTCTTCGTTGGAGGGCCTCAGATGCTTTTTGAGCACTAGATGCGCTTGTCGCGCTTCAGAGGAGAAGAGGGTCCCTTGAGGGAGACTATAGCAAGGCTCTGGCATTCGGCAATCCCTGCGAACATCGTGCGGGTTCGTGTTGGTTGGTTTGTCGGTTGCGATTTGTTCGTGTCTGATGAAAGATCTCCGTGTGCAGTGCTTACAGTGTGGCATAGTCGCACATACTGGCCAGCAGCTGCAGTAAGTAGGCACTAAGTAGGCTCGGCCAAATTATCGTTTCGAAACCATTGACCCTTGTTACATTGTTTGCGACTGCAGTCGAGGAACGACTGGATTCCTTACCAGTACGATGCACCCTTGCATTTGGTGTCAGAGTGCGACGGCTGTCGAGTACTTGGTACAAACAAGATCGAGTTCGTGCAACGAGTGCCACCTAGTGTGGAGCAGGTCTTCGGCATCGGCAGCGTTGATCCACCGGCGATGCTGTGCTACGCACTGGAGCGCTACGAGAGTGGAGATGTTTGCGCACAGGAGTCTTTAAGACCCATCAAGGCTGAGCTGCCCGATGCCGTGTCAACATGCATTGATGCGGCGCTCTGTGAACAGCCGCCACACTCTAGCAATTTGCTCAGAGCCGCAAGCTTCGGTCGTCATTTCCTATCTGATACCCTGGAGCCGGACCGTCACAGGGAAGCTTGCAAGAACTTGCGGATCTGCGTGGAGCTGCGAAAGGCGCCAGTTGATATTCCCATTACGGCTGCCCAACTTGAGAAGCTCGGCATCGCAGGCCGAGATTCCGAAAATTTTATCCGCAATGTGGACTACTCATATTCATCTCATATTCTCATTATTAATTATTGTCAGAACTATTATTATTATTACCTACTGTTTGAGTTCTAGAGATCTGCAAAGTGGCACCAAGGCTTGAGTCTGAGATTAGCCCAGCGCCACTTCCACCTCCTTGCGACTCGGATTTGCGAATGGACGGGACATTCGGAGGAGAAGGTCCTGTACCATTGGGCATGTGAGAAGATTCGGCATTCGACTGCTTACACGGACGAGCAACTGTGCCAGATCATCCTGAGCAAGTTTCAACACTGTCCGGGTATTGGCTGCAAGCTTTACATAGTACATGTTTGTCTTTACTGCAGCCCTCTAAAAAAAATGCCGTCGTAGGCACAAGTGTATGACCATGCAAAGCTCAGGATACGCAGAGGTGGCGCGGGTCGCAGCCGAAATGGTCAGAACCGTTCTTGCCACTTCCCTATTGAACCACGAGCCAAGAAGCCATGCACAGGTGCAGGTCTTGGTTCAGCTAAGTCAGGAAGGAGATGAGAAGAACCGAGAGATTATGCTTCGCATCGCCTTAGACAAAGCTGCACGGAGCTGGGATCCCGACCTGATCCACCTTGCGCTTTCGGCTGCCAGCGGAGGTGGCATCTGCAAGCGCGGTGCAGACATCCAAACTGTGGCTCGCCTGGTCAAGGAGCGGTCGTTTGAGCTGCAGGTCATCAGCGACATGGTCACCAGCATTCTCTCGAAGGCTGAGCAGTTCGACCGGGCTCGAATGCTTTGTGACCAGCTCGACCGTAAGCGTCCAGCAGCCTACTGCGCACTGCAACGGATCTACCGGCAAGCCAACTACGAAGAGCGGATGAAACTCCTTCGCTTCTCAAAGGATCTCTTTGCCATTAGCGATCCGACAGCAACAGATGCAGAAAAGACCTCCATGCAATTTGCATCTCAAGCATGCGCTGAGGAAATCGACCTTCTTCGGGCCCAGGTGTCGCTAGAGGATCAAGCGGCTGCAAAGCATTGGAAAGGCAACACTCGCTTCGCGGGATTGTCATTGACATCAACCTTGATCAGGCTCATAGAGATTGGAGAGGTGTTGGAGGCTGACAACCTGCGGACCCAAATGAAAGTACCGGACAAGAGATACTGGAGAATCAAAATTCGTGGCCTGAGCAATGCCTCCAACTTCGAGGAGCTTAACGTGTTTGCCACCCATCGGACCTCCCCCATCGGCTACGAGCTCTTCATCGATACATTCTTGTATCTCTCCTGAGTAAAGAAAGTTTTCTGCGCTTTGGGTAGGGGGCCTAGTAGGCGGCCAGTTGGGTTGTGTGCCCGTGTGTCCTTACAGGAAGCATGGGCGAAATGACTTCGCCTTGACATTGGTGCCACAGATCAAGGGTGCAGAGCAGCAAGCCCAGTATTACCTTCGGATGGGAATGGCGGAGGAGGCACAGCGAGCGCGAAGCCAGGGACAGGAGCGCTCAGGTGCAGGACGATTGCTGAACATGCTGGGTGTAGGCCGGTGAGCTGGGCCTGTGTGGCATGAGGTGCCTGGAAGCTGTAAAACGCGGACATCAACGAGATTGAGCTGTTGAAAAATGCCTGCTCCAGCTTTAGCAGAGCAGCTGGAATCCTGGAATCGATCGAGCTCGTCCGGCACAGAGAAGCATGTCGCCCCGTGAACCTGCATGCGCCGGCACAAAGCAAGCCAGGCTTTCTCACAACCTGCGCAGCCCGACGATGAAAAAAGTCAGTACCGAACGGCAGCAAGGTTTCCGTGCCATGCTGCAAGACTCCATCGGTCCTCTAAGCCTTTCTCTCCCTGCTTTTGCCCTTTTAACATGATACAGATACGTGTGCCCTTCCGTCTATAACAACAGGAGAGACGAGGAGAAGGGGAGGAAGCAACGAAGATATCCAAGTGCAGAAATCAATGGCCATCGCATCCGATCTGTCGCAGAATTGCATCAAGCCACGTGGAGAAGGGGGGGCTGCATCAGCTGCAAATCATGGCAGCGAGCAACCACCCAACAGCTGATCGCGGATGCGTTGCTTCTCGACTTTACCGTACTACACTGCCTGCTGCCCGAACCACGAAATAGCGACACCGGCGCAAGCCGGATGCCCCGAGGAGTACCTCAACGTTCAGTGCTGTCCACGGGAAGATTTTCTGGGCCTGGTGAAAGACCTGCCGCCAAGCAGCCATCTTCAGGCACAGGATCTACTCTGGAGTTTTCTACGTGATATAGACCTTGAAAGCCTGGAGGCATGGAAGCTTTTCTCTGCAGGTTCTGCACGGCACGCGAATTTACAGATGTCGGAGTTCCACCTCACTGAGAACGGAGCATCGAAGGCACTGCTGGAGGAGGCGCGAAGTCTTAGCCGCCTTTTGGCCAGGAGCATCCTGCGACTGGAGAGCTTCCAGCAGTTCTGCATGTGGAAGCTGGCTACTCAAACTGGAAAACAGGTGATGGATGTTGAACCCGAGGCATGTGAGCATGGCCTGCATCACCTATATATCGAGACAGTGGCGAACCATGACCGGCTTGCATATTCGCTCCTCACTCAGGACTCTCCACACGCTGCTCCTCGAGTGTTGCGCACTGCTGTGGCACTTCAGATCGTTTGCACTGGCAAGTGGGCGAAGAAGGGCATATCAACCCTGGTGAGTCTTTTGCGCCGAAGAACCACCAGTTTGAGGGTCTTTGTGTTGGGCGATGTTGAAGGCTGGGAAGATCTGCTCGGGACGATGCGAGAACTATCGCAGGCACACAAGCTGGACATGACAGGTGTTGGCTTCGAGCACATCAACTTTGAGCAGATGCCGGAGTTTCAGCGCTACATGTGCCTTGTTAACGGATGTAGTGATCCCCAGAAAGTTGGAACATGGATGTAGGGTGATTAGTGCTGGGTTCCCTCTTACTCTACCTCAAGGGATTGAGGATATTTATGTTCCATTCCTACGGTGCCGTTGGCCCCAGACCCTGACCGCCCTTAAAAGGCGCTGGTTTAAGTTCGAGCTTACCTCCTGTGACTCCTTTGGCTTTCCAGTAGCGAAGCAGCAGATTGAAAAGTGATTTGTCACGTCTCCTCTACGGTTGCTGCAGCCATACTGCTGAGGCAAGCATACCCGCAAGACTGCTTTTTCCACAGCTCCATCGAGAGAGCGATGCTTGCGCGAATCCTTTGTCCTTTACTGCCGCGGGCTGAGTCATAGCCTGATGTTGAGTCTGCAAACCTTTTGAAGCTTTTCAATGCATGAACACTTCTCGCACATTCTGCAGCACTGTACCACCAGGCATTGGCATAATGTGATACTCCGACACTGCATAACAAAAAACACACTGGTGATTCTTTGGATGTTTCGAATCTAAAACAAACACACACACACACACACAGCAGGGTCTTCGTTCTTATTTGTGGCAAGTTTGAGGAAGCGCTTTGATCGAGTTCTCAACACCGGGTATGCCTTGTAGGGCGGGGCTCCATAGCTTATCACCTAGAAAGTTGGAGATATCACTTCACATCCACAGCTCTCCGAAAAGTCGTGCATGATTGTGTTTTGTAAGGCGGGGAGTTTGGGACACGTTCCTGCTTCCCGAACTGAACGCGATCAACCTGTTTTTCATAACGGGCTGGGACGTTCACTTTCGATGAAATCCCAGGAGGTCCCAGGCCGGCCAGGCTGCAGAAGGGATAAGCGGGGAGGTGCATCAAATTGACGCAAATCCGGGTGGAAGAGCCACGAGCCACCTGAACTCTTGAGCAGGGACCAGGGATCCTTAGCAGAGTTTCCCTGCTATTGCTTGCTCCTAGAACATATATGCCCATGTTCAGAAAAGGTTGCTTTTGCTGTTTTGTTTAACCCTCTTCTGAGAATCCCAACATCATGCAAACCGAAGGCTTCCGGAAGATGTCGAGCAGGTGATTTCCATCGATCTTGGAGACATATTGATCCTAGATGACATCTATGGCCTATGGGAGATCGGCTGGCAGTTGAGGGATCACTTCCTTGCAGCCGCCTATGCGGCGCCGCTCCATCATATAAATGCAGGGACTGTGGTGTACAACTTGAAGAGGATGCGAGACTCCAACTTCACAGATCTGACCCTACTGGCGGCAGAACATGGTTTGAGAAGAAGTGCGGATGGTGAATGTTTGCGTGATCAAGGCATCCTTAACATCCTGAACGATGAAGCCTTTCTGGCCAAGACTGGCTTTCGGCAGCCGGTGCTGGGATTTCTGCCATGCCGGTGGTCGCTATTTCCTTCTCTTGATTGGCACCCAGCTTGGGAGAAGCTAGAGCTTTGGCCACCTGCAATGATCGCCAGGCATCGCTACCCAGGCATCGTGTCTCGTGGCCAGGTGGAGCACTACTGCCCCGATGCCGCAGATTTGCTTTCCTCCTTTGCCTTCGTGCCACTCACGGGCTCGAGGCAAGCCAGGGTCAGGGAGTACGCTGCCTTGGGCGCTGAACCACGTGCTCGATACTGCAGTTCACAGCGGCTTGGGGAGCCTTGCTGCACTTGCGGAGAGCCGGCTGCTCTGGTTCATGTGGCTGGCGATCTGAAGAAATGGCCAGGGTTGCGGCAGCTGTTGCAGACTCACGTGGGACCCACAGGAGACTCTCTGCTCAGCGCCGAGGGCACAGACACGGAGACTCCGACTTACAGGTGGTGGGGCAGTGAGTCGCGTGACACGGAGCTCAGGGAAAAGAGCCAGGAGCACCTTTACAAACTCGCCAGGCCAGGCCAGGCTACGGCTAGGGGAGTGTACATCCCAGCTTGCTTTTCTACCGTATTGCTAGCCAGAGCCCTAGTCCTACACGCACAAAGCAAACTCCAGCCAACTCGCGAGAATCACCCACCAGGCAGAGAGGATTGAATTACGTCATGCGGCGCGGATCCGCATTATGCCATACCTTTGCCACCAGGCTGTCGCAGGGTGTACCCAGATACCACGAGACAAGGCTCGGGAATTTGTTCGCTCCACTTGTGCTCAGCATCGACACCACATCTGCTAGGTTTCAGCTTCGCTTCTTGGCAGCTGAGTTGTCCATGGAGTTCGCAGTCCAGCTTGCCACCGAACCGGTGGTGAGGCTGTGGTGGCAATGTGCAAATGGCACCCAGGCGGTCGCAGAAAGTTTGAGGTCGCATACCTGCGACGAAAGAAGCGAGTGGATATCAACACGCTGGAGCCTCTCGCCACACGGAAGCGAGATCGACATATGCGGTGGCAAAACCGAGTTTATCCAGCATGAGGTGCCGCTCCGGGAAGCCAACGCTCCGTTCTCTCTCCTGGTTGGATCCGAGGCAGAAGCTTTGTGGTCTGTGTGCCTGAACTGAGACAGCTGTCCGAAGACGCGACGGAGAAACACAACGTCCGTACTCCTTGCCAGACCAGATTGCACATCACGTCAACCTGAACTGCCACGGGCTCAAGCATCCGTTGGATGCAGTTGCAAGATAGCATCCGGAACCCCACGGATTTCGATACCGATCCTTCATATCCGCTCTGAGCCCCGTCGCTCATGGGAAAGTCCGATAGTGAGAAAACTTCAGAAACTGCTAGCAAAGAGACCTTTATCCGTGCGGCTGTACTTCTTGGGCTAGTCCTGACAGTCTTCCTCGCGGACTATGCATTCTTTGCTGGCAGAGAATCTCCAAATTTGAGGTTTGGAAGCGCAGATTGGATAGTGGGCGGTCTTCTTTTGGCTGGTGGTTGCCAGGCCTTCTACCTGAGGACCAGAGCTCCCAAAGTGTCAAAAGCTGTCAAGAGCCAAGAGAGCCGGCCCGACCGGTCTGAAGCGCAAGCTCCCACCAGTCCCACCAAGCCCTTGAAATCCGCCCAACAGACTTTAAACTACCAGCTGGGCCGGGCCTCGTCCTCAGAGAAGGCTGCAGCAGTACTGGAGAAGCTGGTGCTGGATTTTGAGGCCTCGCACGGCCTTCCAGACACCCTCAGCTACAACCTCGTCATCCGGGCATATGCGAAAGAGGGCCATTACCAGGCAGCGGGACGATGGTTAACTCACATGGAGAAGCAGGGGGTCAAGTCGACGGTTTGCAGCTACAACACCGTGCTGGATGCCTGTGCCAAGGCAGGCAAAGCCAAGGAAAGCGAGTTTTGGTTGCAGCGCATGCTGGACAAGGGCCTTCAGGCCAACGTCATTAGCTTTGCCACGGTGGTGCATGCCTTCGCACGTGGTGGGGATGAGAATTCTGCAAGCAAATGGCAACGAGAAATGCTGAGAAGGGGCATTGAACCCGACAGCATCAGCTACAACTCGCTGATCCACGCCTGCTCCGTGAAGGGCCGGATTTCGGCGGCTGAGGCCTGGCTTTTGGAAATGCGAAGCCGGGGCCTGGACGCAACGGTGACCACCTACGCTTCCTTGATCGATGCTGCAGCAAAGGCAGGTGATCTGGAGAAGGCGGAGAAATGGATGACTGAGATGATTGGCTTTGGCATCGCGCCCAACGTGATCTCTTTCGGTGCGGTGATCAATGCCTGTGCGAAGGCATGTAACTTGCAGCGTGCTGAGCATTGGCATTCCCGAATGGTGGAGTTCGGGATCCGACCGAACTTGAGAAGCTACAGCGCAGTCATCAACGCCTGCGCCAAGGCAGGCAAGGCCGATCAAGCGGAACAGTGGCTGCAGAAACTTGAGGCTGCGGGCCTCGAGAGCGACGCCATTGTCTACAGCAGCGTGATTGATGCTTGTGGCAAAGCAGGGGATTGCGAAAGGGCAATGGCTGTATTCAAAAGAATGCAGGCCAGAGGCATTGCGCCGCATGTTGTCACCTATTCTGCACTAGCCCGGCCCTTCGCGTACAGAGGCCACTGGCAGCAAGTGGAAGGACTGGGGGAGGAACTGCGAGCAAGCGGTTGCCGCCCAAACGACTACTTCATTTATGCACAGTTGCTGGCATACGCGACCGCCAGACCAAAAGAGCCCGAAAGGGCAGAGAGCCTCTTCCGTGAGGCGGTTGCCGAGGGCCTTTGCCCCAATCAGCACGTTCAGACGGGGCTGTCGAGGGCCCTTGGCCGCAAGCGGGCCTCCGAGTTGATGCAGGAGCTCAAGGTGGCAGTCAAGTAGACATATATCACAGCAACGGGAAGCCACAGGAGGCGAAGCTGCTGGCCGCTTGACACTTGCAAGAACAAAGGAGCCCGCAGTGCGGCATACGGCTTCACATGCTAAAGGCTCCTGCCTCCGAGCAGAAGCTCTGCCGTTGCAGCCCTTTGCAATTAGAGCGACTACCTTCATGATGCCTTCATGTCAAGTCAAGACTCTTCTCAAAACCATGTGGCAAGCAGCAGCGAAAAAGGCGAATGACAACGAACAGGCCTCCGTCGCCATGACAAACATGCAGCTAGAGAGCTTGCCTTGTTCCATTGTAAGAGGGGCAGAGAAAGCAAGCTGATCAGAGACACCTCGGGCCTGTAGTTTGCAGGCGAGGTTTCACAGGGAAGAAATCTAGTAGTCTCTTTGCCGCCATGGGGCTGATGAAAATCCTCAGGTCTTTCCCTGGCCATCAGATGTAGTGGCATTGCAGCCCATGTCTTGATGCCTGTAGGAAGATGAAGCAGGAAGAGAAGGCATCGGCCTCGTTTCTTGACCCCGGATCGAATCTACATGCTGGCTTGCACGTGCCAAACCTCATGCAGACGCTTTCAAGCTGCAAAATTCTGCTCCATCAACTGTACACTACATGTCCACAGAACAAGTGCCGACATTCAGGAGGTTCGCCTTCTGATGCTTGGCCTGGACAACGCAGGCCATGGCAGGACTGGGGTTGCCCAAATGGAAGCCTACCAGCCCTGAGCACTGTAGGCAAAACAACTATTCTCAAGAAGTCGCCACCTCAGCTGAAACTCATCATCCTGCTTTCTTGTTAGCGACTTTTTGCCTTAGTCTGAGAGAGACTTCTGCGGAGGTTCAATGGTGAACCTGTGGACACCATTTCGCCGACTCTCGGCTTCAACATCAAGACCCTCGAGCGTCCTGGATGCAGACCGAGACTGTGCCTGAGCACCGGAGCATGAGCTAAAAGCAGCTAGAACAGGTACGAGGGCTACAAGCTGAATATTTGGGACATCGGTGGACAAAAGACAATACGAAGCTATTGGAGGAAGCTGTATCTCTTGCTCTCGTAGCACCTTTCAGTGCAGAGCTTGCGCCTGCATTCTGGAGGAACTATTTTGAGGCGACTGATGGTCTTGTGTGGGCATCGGGCCTAGTCGGCAGTGCCATCCAGACTCGCCAAGGCTGCTGCCGAGTTAGCCCTGGACTTAGGTCGTTGACTCCGCAGATCGCCAGCGCTTGGAGGAGGGGCTTTTTCACCTGCCGTCGAACCAATTCAATTGAATTGTATCGTATTACGAAAAGCTTGAGCGACTCTTGCACAGGATTGCAAGCAAGAGTTGGCCGGTCACCGAGAGACCAAAGCGAAAAGTCTGGGTGTTGCCGGTTGCAACGTAGTGGTTACCTGAGTTCAGGACCGGCTCCTCCAGGAGGAGCGCTTAGCAGGAGACCTTCCACATTTGTGCACTTGTCCGTTGCATACCCAGCCCGTTCTAGCTGCAGCATGTGAGGCGCCACGTTGCTGATCTTCGCGAACAAGCAAGATCTACCCGGAGCTATGTGAGCAGCTCTGAGGTTCAAGCTGGCATCAAAGAACAAGCTTCTAGTCAGTCCACAGTCCCGTAAGGACTGCTCCAGAGATTCGAGATTTCCTCCAGCTTGAAGAGATCAAGCGGCGGCACTGGTGAGCTGATGATGCTGATAGTAATCTGTCAATATTCCACGTTGCCTGAGCACCTCTTGAGTCACCTCTTGTGCAACTAGGTGCATCCTGGCTTGCTCCGCCTACACGGGCGAGGCCTTGAGAAAAACTGAAGCGCGCACGATAGATGCTCCAAGTCCTTGCTCAGGGGCTTCTGGAAGGAGTGAGATGGCTCGTCTCCGATATTTCCTCGCGAGTTTTCTTTCTGGATTGAGCGCGCACGCTTCCCGGATAACGTCTGCCGGTACTTCCAGCAATGACCTGGAACACTGGCAGTGATAGCGGCCGACAAGAGATCAGAATTCAAATCCGAGGTCCGTACATCGCCTGTCTTGTGTTGTGCGTACTCTTTCTGCCAGCATTCAAACTTAAGATATCTGGATATGACAGGTGCTTGACAAGCAGAAGGCAGTTTGTTAAAACGAACGGGACGGGCTTCCGAATTTACTCATGCTACTACTGCAGGAGTCAGTGCCATTCTTGCAAGCTAAATGGTGCTGTAGGAACAGTTCCCGTTCTCTTGCTTAGATGTACCATCTCGACCCAACCCAACAGAACGCAGATTCCGCCAATCCCAGCTTCCCTTCAACCATCTCAGCCGCACGTGGGTTTGCCGCAAGACTCTTCAATCCTGTGTAGACTATGCGTGACACCCCGCCCGTGTGGACTTCACCCCCTCCAACCTTTTACTGCTCCGCGATGCTCCCCAGACTCACATGGACCATGCCACGAGTTCTTATCCGCTGACTGCATAAGACCATGAACTGGAGTTTAGCAACGTCTTGAGTTGCAAACGGACGCGGCTCTTTGTGTTCTCCTTCTGCGGCTTTCGATTGCTTCTCGCTCATGGCTCAATGAATGGCTTGCAAGCTGTACTTGCTGTTGAGGGTTTGGACTGATGCCCAGCACCCATGTGCACAGTCTGTGTGGGCGCAGAAGCCGTCCGCAGAACTTCTTACGTGCTGCTGTTTGTGCAGTTCCTGGGCGCATTGAGCTTCACCGTCGTGCTTCCGGAAGCTGCCCAGCTTTCAGAGGCCGCCAGGGCAGTAGGAGTTGGCTTGTGGCTTTTCTTTCATCCTTTCATTCTTTCTGTCTTTGTTTCTGTATTTAAATAATTTCTTTCTTTCCTTTGTTTCTTTATTTATTGCCTTCATTCATTCCTTCATTCATTCATGCTTTCTCTCCCTCTCTCTGCGTACTAGTGCGGAACGCATGTAATAGCTTCAAGTTCATAACGCTTTCAATACGTGAGCTGGCACAAGGGCAAAGTGTTCAGGGGACAACGTGAGCAGAAGGGGGCATCAGGCAGTGCCAAACAACATTTGAGCTTGCGGGAAGGCTTCGCGAGTTCTGCTTCCGAAACGTAGTTTACATGACTTTTACATGTGTTGTCATAGCATGCTTTTGTCCTCGCAGAGTGACAAATCGCGCTTTCGGCTCAGTCCCGTGCATGTTTCCTATACTCGAAACCGTAGCGAAAACGTGGCAGGTGCGTACTTTTGGCCTGCTGGATGGGTTCGCTTCTTCGCTTCGCGCGTCCAGTCTAGATGGATTTGCACTTCTCAGTGCGGCAATGGCACTCTCCTCGGTCTCGTGTGTGCATTCTCCTTGTCATGAGCAAAGCTGTCGTTGTTTTTTGGCCCCTTGGGGGCGCTCTTGGGGTGATCTTGGGGCTTCGTGGGGTCGTCTTGGCACTGTCTGGGGTTTGCACTTGTTTGCACTGAACAAACAGATATCGCAGGCATTGGGTAAAGACGATGCTTTCTCCGGGACCTTGATCGGTGCCTTCACGCAGGGCAACTTCTTGGGGCGCCTGCCCATGTGGATCTGCATCAGGCAAACAAATTGGGGGAGCTGATCGGTATTGTTTGCTTCTTCTGTGTTTCCACCTGCTTTTGAGATGCGTGTCCTCCTAAACCGCGTGCGCCAGGTCCCGGCCGGAGCTCTGGCGAAACGCTCGGGTCAGTCTGTTGGCATTGCTTTTGCTGGTGCTGCTCAGCACTACATGCTTTGCCACAATCGGATTCTGGGCCTCGCGTGGCTCCCCAAACTTGTCCTTGCTCCTCTTGGCCAGCCGCGCGATGAGCGGAGTTGGTTTTGGAGCATGTGCACAGCTGTTTCAATACAGCATCCTGGCTGAAGTCGGGACGAATGAGGTTCGGGCGCTCCGCGTTAGGTTTGGGGGGCTATAGAGGCGTAGATCCTATTAGTTTTTGTGTTTTTTCTACTTATCTTTGAAGAAATTTGTGAAGCCTCGAGGCCTGAGCATGATGATCCCACCGGACCAGCGGCCAGAGCAGATGTCTCGGTTTGCCATGGCGAATATGTTGGGGATCGGCTTTGGGCCCTTAGTGTCTTCGGCTGCTCTGTTTCTATTTCCTCGTCTCATGGAGGGACGCTTCGATGCCATCTCTACTACGCAGGTGGGCATCGCGTTGGCGGCGCTCGGCGCCGTCGCCTTCTGTTGGCCAAGGGAGATCAGAGGTACGGATGACGACTGCCCACTTCAGGTGGAGACAACGACAAGCAAGGAAAATGTGCTGAAGAGGCGCCTGGTGGTTTGCGGTTGCCTTTTGATGTCTATGACGAGGCAACTGGTGTGTGTTGCTTTGGAGGCAGGCACCAGCTTGCTTCTGGAGCGGCGCTATGGGTGGCAGTTAGAGCCCATTGGCGTCGTCATTGGCCTTCTGTTCTTGGGCTGCGTACCCTTGAAGGTTGTACACATCCGATTCAAGGACAAGCTGTCAACAGTCGGGTGGATTCAGCTTCTCTCCTACATGGCCATTTTCTCTGCACTGCTATTGTTTGACTTGATCCCGAACATGAGCCTAGCCACGTTGCTCATTGCAGATGGCCTGATGTTTCCGACCTTGTACTTGACAGATGGGCTAAGTGTTGGCATCATGCAGCAGCATGTGCTGCCGCATGGGTCTTGCTGTGATGCCAACACTGCCATGCTTTGGTTCGGCTTCTTGGCCAACGGTGTTGGGGGCTTTGGGGCGTTCCTCGGGCGCCGATCTATCCAATCCCACGGGCGGAACTCATATGCCGTCCAGCAGCTGTCCATTTCCTGCTGCTTCTTGGCACCTGGGCACCGCTTATTCAAGAGTCTCTTTGCTTGTTTTGACTGTCCCGAGAAACGCTGCGGGTTCTGCTGGCTTCGGGGAGTTGTTGCAACGTTGGGTCCTTTCCGCCTAGGCCATTTTCTACAGCCTTGTGCTTCCAGCATTGAGGGGTCTCAAGGCCGGGGCGAAGGCCGAGGCAAATACGTCGTCGTCCTCGTCCTCACCGCTGTCATCGTCATCGTCGTTGGCGACTCCGGACGAAACATCGATGGATGCCCGGGATGCGCGGGAGCAGATGCAACTGCAGATGCAACCTGGGACCTCTTGGATGGCATCGGCCAAGGACAATGTGATGTCTTTGGAAGATGCGGAGGCGCAAGCGGAATGCCGAACAGTGACCAGCGAGCGTCGCCGCCGCTGGGTGGAGATCTGTCTTCAGCGCAAGCTGATTTTTGCACATGTTCCAAAAGCCGCAGGTACCTCGGTGAGCGCGGCCATCTTCTTCCGTCCAGACGAGGTTGCTTTGAAAGCGCAGCATATGTCATTGCATCAGTTCCGCAGTGACATGGGGCAAGCTGCTTTCAATGCGTGCTACAAGGTCACGGTAGTGCGGCATCCTTTTGATCGACTTCTGAGTGCCTACAACTACAATGTTGCAGACGTTCCTTCAGCGCATCAGATTGAGAACGGCAAGAAGATCTGGATCGACCAGATAGGCCATCGATTCGTCACAGCTTTCAGATCTTTGCACGAGCTGGTGGACTACTTGTATGAGTTCAGTTTGCAAGTGGCCGCCGGCGAGAAGCAGTGGGCTACCATGTGGCCGGCAGATGAGCTCGGAGACATCCCCATCCACTTCCGTCCCATGTGGACGTTCCTTGCCGACCCAGACACCGGCAATTTGTTGGTGGATCGCGTGGTGCACTTCGAGCAGATGGCGTCGGAGCTTGCAAAGTGTCTCGGTGAAGCTCCGAGCCATATTGATGCCAAGATGCGGCGTGGTCTGGGCCACGAGCGGAAGTCCTCGAGGTCGTGGATGTTTTTGGAGTATCATGCAGAGGTCATCCAGAAAGTGCAGTTCATTTATGCGCGTGACTACGACCTCTTCGGATATGAGCGTGTAACAGCCTGCACCACGCCCTGACATAATTTACAAACACATTGAACGCATTTATGTGGCAGTCTGCTTCCAGAGTGATCTTGCAGTGCTGCAAATCGGTCTCGCGACGCTGCTGCTTTGGATGGAAAGTTTAAGTACTGTAGTTACATCGGGCATGCCCGATCAGGAGTCATCATGCATGAAGAACGAGAAAAGTTGGACTTTTCTTGCTCCGTCCCCACCCCCTGCACAAGTATGGTCAAGGAACATGCGGGGATGGGGGGGTGCCACTCAGGCCTCAATGAAGTTGTCCGCAACGCGAGGCTTTCAGTGACATGTGTTTTTCCTGTGCAGCAGGCACAAAAGTTCGAGCTCGAACTTGAACAGCACGAACAAGCAAAGATTTCCAAAGCCACACCTTGTACGAAGCGTTCAGATCCCGTCATCCCGTCAACGCTTTCTGTTCCTCTTAGAATGAATGCGCATGCCGGCTTAACAACCCTGCTGTTGCGCATGGTTGAGCATGGAGGCCTGACATGCATGACTTCATAAATGTCGACTTCATGTGAAGCCTTGTGGTCATGCAGCTTGTTTGGCGCTGTCGCAAGCAAGATGGCGTTTTGAATGCCGTCTCAGTTACACTAAGCCTTTCAGAATATCAAAGCCCGATCCTGAACCCCAAACCCTGCTAGATGTGCATGCCTGCTTCCTGTAACCCGTTCCGCACAAGTGTCCCTGTCTTCTTCGTGCACGGACACAGCTGCTTACAGCAAGCAGCTCCCCAGGAAATCGTCGGAGTTCGACGTTGAACGGCCCGGACAGCGCTGAGCCTGCGCGGAGTGGAGCTGAGAAGCAGGCGGCAGCTAGTGAATTTGTATGCTGGGGTTCTGAGTGCAGCGGAGCACTTTGCAGTGTTTAGGAGATGGTGTTTCGGGATTTAGGGGGTTCGCGACGGTAGGTACCAGCACAAGCGGCTTCGGCCGGATTTGGCAGAGGTGATTCCTTTCAGTTCATTTTCCAACACGCCCTTCGAAAACACTTCGGGCCCTGAGGTAGAAGGGACTCCCGCGGAGGTCGCTGCCTTATCTGGGTTCTCGGAAGTTCTCGGTTCTAGTCACGACCCCAACTCGCTTGAACTAGCCTGCCTCGCGAACCCCCCGCCGCATCTTCTGAATTCAGGCTCGTGTATAGGAGGGGCTCTTGCCGCGGAAGGGACATCAGCCGCATAAGCGCTTACCTTCTGCCAGATGGCAACAGCTACCTCGCCCCGCCCATAGCTGTGCAGGCTTTTACATGGGCTTTTATAGTCCTCTGCTGTGCTCCCCTTGCCGGCTTCCATGGGAGGTACAGAGGCGTTTCGAGCTCGCGAGCTCCCCTGTGCACAGTACAACATTTTCCGATGCTGAACAAGCATGGATCACATACCTCGCCGGCTTAGGGCTGTGAAAACATTCCGGAGTCACTTTCTGTCGAGCGGTTGTGCTGGAATGAGCTTGAGTTCTTGAGCCTGCCCCGCGCTCAGGTCGGTCGTGGCCCGCAGCCTCCCGGGTTACCCTAAGTCCCGAACCCCGCTGCCCGAACCCTCTAGAACCCTAATCCCTACCAGGCCGCCCCGCATCCGCTCTGCGTGTCGCGTGAGTTACCTTAAACCCCGAACCCCGTTGGCGCTCGAACCCATAGCACCCTAAGCCCGACTAGGCCGCCCTGCGNNCGTCGTCCCTGCTGCACAGAGTGTAGGGGTTCGCCGGCTAGGGTTGTCCCTGGTTCAGGTAGGGCTGGTCTAGGATTATTGTTTTGGTTGCCTTCCCAGCCCGAACGCCGATGCTCCTGGCAGCCGGACCGCCCGCGACGGTTATCAAAAGCATCAAACATTTCGAAGCCGCGCTTTTAGACCAA